CTCGCTCTGCCCAAAAAATAGAGAGTCCGAGTTGTCTCTCTCGGGTAAAAAAGGAGCCTGAGGTGCCTCTCTCAGTAAAAAATGCAAAGCCCCTGCCATGCATGCTTCCTTTTATGCTTTTTTAAATTATAATCACTTTATTATAGATCGCAAAAATTTTAAAAAAGGAATAAAAAGGTATTTTATTTTTATTAAATAAAGTATTGTCTAACAGACCACAATTCCAACTGAAATAATCGCAAAAAAAGATTTATCGGAAAACAATTACTGTGACATTTTAGGTAGTGCAGAAATTACTATTTGAGATTGTATTGGTATAATAAGATCTATTACAAAATATAAGCATTACATTTATTTACATAAATATTACATGTTTTTTTTTGTATTCGCTCGAATTTGCTATGTTTTTACAACGTTTTCGTTATTTATGTACTGTAAAAAGTCATGGAAATTCTATATCGTATGGCTAATGGACTGAGTTTGTTATATGTTATAAACTTGTTAAAAATAAAAAATAAATGAAGTATTAAAAAAAAATCACTTATAAAAAATTGAACAATTCTTTTACTGAAATAAACTTTTTTCTATCTTTTATTGTTGCAATTTTAAAGGTACATGGGAAATTTGAAAATGTAAAATAAATAATAAAAGAATAAACAAAAATAATAATAACAAATTATAAACAAATGGTTCTATGTAAATTGTACGTTTTCGTTCTTTCAATCCCTTTTTTTTCAATTCGTCCTTTTTGATATATTACGTGGAGCAAAGATATAAGGTTTATTTTTGACATTTGATGAGAATACCATAGGACTAGAATTTTTTCATGTACCATTTGTAGCTTTAGGTTCCATCTTTCCATCATAATTTAATTCTTGAATAAACCAATGTCGGGTCTTTAAATTATGTGCATAATAATAGGTTTTACTGAAAATTTGAAAAGGGGTTGAAACGTGAAACTACTTTTTAAATTTCCTCTGGAAGTTTCTTCCCCATTATACCGTCATCTAATATTTCATCAAATTACCAAGTTTTCTTCATAGTATATAAATAACTTCGATTCCATAATGAAATGAAACTTGATCATCACCTCCAATAATTCTTGTATCAGTACTATGACCATAATAATAAGCGTGACCATTAATATTAAATGGTAGCACGACTTTATAGGATTCCTTTTTTTTTCCACGATCAGTTATTTCATCGAATTTCAGTCTACTAATAATTCTTGAACGTGCCAAATATTTGAATCAGTATTTTGGGCATAATAAAAAGTTCTTTCTCCAATGGTAAATGTGAATAATAAGGAATTTTACATTTTCCGGTTGACATTGTTTTAGCAAATTTTACATCATCATCAAGAATTTTCGTGAATATAACATTCATTGATATTAATACTATGAGCGAATTTAATAAGATTTATTGCTGATTTGATAAGAAAATGCAACTTGAAAGAGAAGATTTCGGAATTTGGGGAAGTGTTAAAATTGATCTCTCGGAGGTTATTTTACGTTCAGAGAATAAGGGTCAGAAGGATGTCATTTTTGTTTTAAATAATAATAATAATAATAATAATAATAATTTTTAAGACGAAAAGGTTTGAAAGAATTGAAAGATTTAAAAGTTTAAAGATTTGAATAATTTTGAAATTTCGATTTAGGAAAAATAGTAGTAGTTGTAGTTTTTGATACTTTTGCTTTTTTGGTTTTTTTTTTGTTTTTGATCAAAATTATGATTCTGATGATTCTGATAGGGATCCCATCTAATTTTTGGACGAATAATATAAAAATTACTATAATAAATAATGTAATAAATAATTTTGATTTTGAAGCATTTTGTTTCGATTTTTAATTCTATGTAATTTAAATTAGAGTATAAAAAATTCAATTTAATAATTTAATTAATGTAGAAGATATATATGTTTAAATAATAAATACTGATATATATAAAATATGAAATATATCTATATCTTAAAATTAAAAATAAAATATAATATATTTTATTATATTCTTAAAGGATAACTTTTAAATATTTTTCTTAACAATCTTAAATACTTCATAATCGATGATTGAAAAGCATAATGATGATGATGATCCTATAGGTTTTTCATAAACTCCTTCAACCCTATCACAGTAACATCTATTATCTAAAGTGAAATTAGATTTATTACTATACATCCAAAAATCATCACCAAAATTTGGGCCAAAATATTTTTGTCCACTTTTAGATATACTAATAATTGCATATTGGGGTCGTTTTACCCTACTAAGAATTGAATTTGGAATATTACCATTTTTCAATGAAAAAATGAAGCTATCTTTTGTTTCCATACATTGAATTTCAATAAGACTGTTATCCCATTCTAAAGGATTATAACCTCCGATAATTTCATCTGTTCCCTTAACTTTTACTAAAAGAACATTACAAGCATGACCATGGCACATATTCCAAAATGTTTGTGGTGTAAATCCATCTCGAGTTCCACGTAAGATTAATTCAAATTTATATGGAATATTTTTTAAAGTATATGCAGTTGTCTTACGGTCAATCCAGGTAGAAATTTCTGCTGCATGTTCTTCAGAAATGATAGTTGAAAAGATTCTCTTGGTTCTTCAGCACAAGAAGGAATTTCTATAGCCAAAATTGTTCTTGGTGACAAAATGGTTGATTTTACTGGTCGGTCAGGAATTAACAGATGCTGATTTATATCTTCCCAAAGTTGTTTATCCATGATTTTTTTGAAAGGTTTAATTTTATCAACGACTTCAATACTTGAAAGATGAAAATAACGAATATACGGTAAACTTTGTTGTAGAGTAGTTTTTAGGGTAAGGAAATTTTCCTTGGTCCAATCTTCAAGGTTTGTAGGAAGGGTAAAAGTTTTTGCAATTCCCCACTTGATGACATAATCCCAAATTTTTTTTCTTCGATTTGTAAATCATCTCGTTTGAGAAGAGATAATAATGCAGGTTCTTCGAGAGAAGTAAAATCTTCAGCATCAAAAATAAGGTTTGGATACTTTGCAACAATATCATTACAAAAGTTTCCTAATTTTTCAAGATTTTTTCGACTAAAAATAGAGTTCTCAACCAAGATCCTTTAAATTCAATAAGAAGAGTTTCTAATTTATTGGTTAATTCCTCAAGCTCAAATTCATTGGCAGTTAACATTAAATCATAAATAAATCTAGTTTCACAATTTTCTAAATCAACAATTCCTCCATAGATGTATCTAAAAAATTAATAAATAAATAAAATAATAATAAATAAATTTTGTAATAATCTTCATATTATTATTAATAATAACTTACTGAAGAATAACATTAAAAAGTTGAGCGGAAGTGCTTGACTTGACGATTATTTTAATATTATTTTCATTTTGCTGAATATTCTCTAATTCTCTTCGAAAATGAGACGATCGGAATTTCAATACGTTTGAATGTGCCGTAAACGATTTTTCCTTATTTTTAACTTCAATTATTACATTATGATCTTCTTTATCATTAAGGAGCTCAATAAAATTTTGAGATAACTTATCAAGGAATTTTAAAGACATTTTTCTTTTTTTAAATTTTGCAAATTGAATTGAAAGTCAAAAAAAAAAGACCGAGAACAAAATGGGAAACAATAGACAATATTAATTTATGCGATTATTGTATGACAATCACACAATTTCTTATTCAGATTCTGCGGATCTAATTTTTTGGAAGTTAATTCAGTAAAATTATATTTTATCCAACGGATGAAAAATAATAGTAAAGGAATTAAATATCTATTAAAAAGATAAAATACAATCAAAGTTCTGGTAGTATTCATAATAAGGTATCAATTTAAGGAATTTTCTATGAATTCTTTCTTGTAATAATTAAAACTTCATTGAAGTGATACTTATAATAGGGTTCCTTTTTATACTTTAGTTGGGATGTTATGTCATTTTAATTCCATTTTGGGAATTTCATAGTCATCATTTTCAATTTTTCAACGGGAAGGCTTTTTTTTTATTTTCCTGAATTTGATTAATCCCTTCTTATTTATCGAAATCTCATAATTTTCAGATTAATAACCAATAATTTCAAAAAATATATGATATATAATGCAATAAATAATTTTAATTAAAGTTTTTTTTTCTAAAACAATAGTTTCAATTTTTTGGTAATATAACAAATCAGTATGGTACTATTGTGCAATTTGTCGCTTAGTATATGCAGGGAATCATAGTAATTGTATCAATAAAAAAACTAAAAAGTATTATAATATACAATCCCAATTCTTGATCCAAACCCTAACTAATTCATTATTCTTAAATAATAGAAAGCGAAGAGTATATATTAATAAAATTATACATTACAAAGAAAGAAGTTTCTAGAAAGGAAATGACAATTGGGATGTCTTTGTTAGAATAATAAACAAATCTGCTTAAAGGTCAAAAAATTTATTCACATTATGTTCATTACATTTATGAAGAACTGACAAAATATTTACAAATCTTTAGCAAAAAATTTGATTAAAATAATTAAGAATTAAGTGATTTTCTTGAAGATTTTAATTAATTTTAATAATTCCAAAAAAAAAAAATTTAAAAACATTTAGAATAAATTAATTAGATCAAAAAATGCAATGGATAAAATAATAATAAAAAATAAAAATATGAGGGGGTTGAAATTGATATAAGTTTGTATAATATACTATTAATTTATACTTTAAAATTATTTTATCACTAGATTGACACATAATTGAGAATAAGTAACTTTATCCAAAATAATGATAAATCTTGAGATTATAAAATAACAAAATATTTGGAGAATTTTGTAATATATAAATATTTATTATTTCATTATTTGAATGTTCAAAGATAAATGTTATTTTTTTAAAGGTATAAATTAATGAATAATCAATTAAATTAATAAAACTATTTATTATAATATTAATTACAAGTGAAAAACTAGATCAAGTCACATTAGTGGTAAATAATAAATTTATTATTTTCTTATTATTATTATTATTATTATTTCTTATTTTTTATTATTTTCTTAAATAAAATTATTTATCATTAGGACATTTTTTTTTGAATTTATTTAATTTACATCAATCATCAAATTTTTTATTTATATAGTATTAATAATTATGTATTTCTTTAAAAAAAAAAGGACGAGAATTACAGAATCACAAAAAAGGTGGATGGCAAGTGTTAAATCCAATTTATCATTTTATACTTTTTTTTTTTAACGAAAATTTATAGAAGAATAAACAAAATACAATAAAAAAATATTTTAATTTAATTTAATTTTTAGTATGTTTGCGAGAACATTAATCATGAAAAGATATTGAATAATTTATAGACATTGGAATTTTAATCAATATTTTTCTTTTTTCTATTTGAATAACAATAATTGAAAAATCTGATAAATTCTATTTTCAACATGAATATTGAGGAAATTAAAATATTTTATGATTAATATTAAAGATAGTAAAGAAACAGATATATATATTTTATCGAAGATATAATCTTTAGCATTAAATATTTTATTAGTTTAAAGTTTCTTTAAATTGATTAGCATATTGTATGGAATAAAAAATAATGATAATTGTAATAATATAAACAACAACAATAATAATAATTAAATTAAGTTATTATTCTTCAATGAATAAAATAAAAATAGAATGGTTTTATTTTATATTTATTTGAACATTTAAAATTAAAGAAAAAATTATACAGACGATAATCGATTATAATAATAATTAAAATCTTTGATAAAAAATAAATTTATTTAATAAATAAATATGATATGATTATTTATTAAATTACAAGCGAAAGAAAAATAAGAATGGTGAAGATTCCAATAATTCAAAATTCTATACAAATTCCAAATCATTTAAATTATCAAATTTTTCAATACTACTTCAAGTTGCTCATTTCGCACTTGTTTTTGATATACAATATTCCAATTTCTTCAATGTCTTTTAAATTATTTATTCTATTACTTTCTCAAGCAATTCCGCATTTAGTTGAGCATCCCAAAAAATTATTTCCACTTGTCTATTTATAAAAATTATCCATGAAATGTTTTGGTTTACATAGTTTGCGAGATTATCTTCATTTCATACTTTATATCTAACCAATTTTATTTTCTTAATTTTGATGAGTGAGGTAATTAAAAAAAAAAATGGAAATGAATTGGGTCAAATTTTCGCTCTTGGAAGAAATCAAAAATTACCATACCGCATTTCTATAAATAATATACGTGAACCAAGTAATTGATATCAATATAACTTTCACCTTTCACATCATAAAATATTCCATGTATTCTACAAGTATTTTTTTTTGTTTATGTTTATTTCCAGTATTTTTATTCAATATATTATTTATCTTTGATAAATACAGTAAAA